CTCTCTAAATTTTGTGCACTCCTTTTTTTTTTTGTTTTACACACGCACACACACACACACACACACACACACACACACACACACACTACTTACACTGGCCACGGAGGCCTGAGGGTCCTGCAGGTGCAGTAGGAGAGGCACCAGCCCACCCACAACCTGCTCCAAGAAGACGTCCTCACAGTTACCATGGCAGGTCTTGTTGAGGTGTCCAAAAAGGCGGATGGATGCTGTCCTGAACTCCACTTTCTCCTAGCACGAGTGTGTCCATATTACCTCATAGGCCCCCTTTTCTAGGCCTATGTAGAGGCCTGAGGGTCCTGCAGGTGCAGTAGGAGAGGCACCAGCCCACCCACAACCTGCTCCAAGAAGACGTCCTCACAGTTACCATGGCAGGTCTTGTTGAGGTGTCCAAAAAGGCGGATGGATGCTGTCCTGAACTCCACTTTCTCCTAGCACGAGTGTGTCCATATTACCTCATAGGCCCCCTTTTCTAGGCCTATGTACATCCTGAGCCTCATAGGCCCCCTTTTCTAGGCCTATGTACATCCTGAGCCCCTGCCTTTGTGCTACACATACAGACTGGGAAGGAGGTGGGTAGTAATGAGGTCAGAGATTTGTATAGATGACCTTGTGATTGAGGATGGGGAGCAAAGCCCAGCAAAGCAGTACACACTGCTTATAGGACCTAGCTGAGGGTGAGGAGTTGGGTCTTCAGGTGTTCCATAGCTTACGCTGTCAAAGAAGGGCCGGATGCGGATAGTCGTGTGAAGCAGCACCAAGCGCAGGTCCCAGGGCTCCACTAGGTCTTGCAGTCGTGCAAGACCCACCATGGCTTCTAAGGCCACCAGGCCGTGTGGGTCATCCCCGTCATCCAGCCCACCAATCATGGCTGTCAGGAGCTGGGGGCCATGAGCCCGTACCTAAGAGACCCCTGTACTCAGTCTAGCCCATCCTTCAGAGGACTCTTCCCCTTTCCTAAGCAGTTATAAGCTGAGTATACCTCCCCACTCTGCCACCAGCCTGTCCTGGCAGATTCCTGGGGATAGCCCACCTTGTCAGGTGAGCCAGAAGCAATATTGGCCAAACCACGGAGCACCAGACGCCGTACACTGGCACTTGAGTCCTTCTGTCGGGCTGCAAGGCTGTCCAGCAGTGGCTCCAGGAGCATCAGGTCATTGACCACATTATTGCTGAGCAACTGAAGGCAAAGTTGCAGTGACTCCTTGTACCAAGTGACTCCTACCACTCCAGGCCCTGACACTGCAGTACAACAGGTGTGGTGCAGACACCCAGAAAGGGGAAGCTGAGAGCCTGCTCTCTCTACTGTCCTCCCATTCTGCAGAGGCTTTCAACCTCTGGCCCTGATTTCAGGCCTAGCCCTACTAGACTGCCTAGTAGGGCTTAGGGCCAGACTTGGCTGGACCCAGGCAAGGTTTTGCCAGGTGGGGATAAGTAAGCTCTGGCATAGACTAGGGAGGCCAGGCTTGCCTCTACCAGCCCATTGGCCACCCCTCGCCATGGGAAGAAAGCATTTTCTGTTCATTCTAAAGCAGAAGGCTCATGTTCATACCCTCTCCCCATTCTCCTACCTCAGCCAGGAAAGCTGTAGAGGTTACCCTCTGGGTCTCATACACGCTGTGTGTGCACACGAGTGCCTTCATCACCAGGGGGAGCCGAGGGCCTGCACACTTTGCCATGGCACTGGAGAAAGAGGTTCCAAAGGGCAGAAGTTTCCCACCATAGATGTCAGCAGACCATTACCCAGGGCAATTTTCATGTGTGCCTGGAGGATCCTCCTACTCTGCATGGGTAGAACCCTAGGCATTCTACTCCAGGCTCCCAGTGCTTCTCAGGCATACTCCCCTCCCCGAGGACATCCTTTTTCCTGCCCACAAAATATCCCTCTTACATGCCTCTGCATGTGAGGCTGGGGTGTGGTGGTACGCACCTTTAATCCCAGCACTTGGGAGGCAGGCAGATCTCTGGGTTCCAGGCCAGCCGGGGCTACTGGAAGACCCTCTCTCAAAAAGATTAAGGAAAAAAAAAATTCCCCTGAATATGGCCTAGTTTTCTTACCTGGCCAGCTGAGCAACTCCATCCTCGTGTCCTGCTGAGGTCCTAAGCAACTCCCAGCCTCCCTCGAGCTCCACACACCGCACCACATCTTGAGTGCCACCTCGGAGCAGCAAGGCCTGAAGGGCATCCACCGCAGAGCTGTGTGCATGTAGGGTGGGTGGTATTTGATGGCCCATCTGCTAAGGGGTGGGGGTGACCCTGCCTGTGTTAAGCACAAGGCTCTGCCTTGCTCCTTCACAGGGACAGAATGTTGGAAGCATTCAGGTGTATAGCCTACTTACATACAAATTTAGTTAAGGTCTGCTTTGGCTTGCCAGTGTTACCCTTCAAGGAGCAGGCTCAGAGCAGAAAGGCCCATGAGTGCTCATCAGGACTGTCTTAGAGATTAGCTAGCCAGCCTGGCCTTGGCCACCAGTCTCTAGGATAACATGTAGAATCATGAAGCTATACCAAAAAGTCACAGACCTAGCCTCTAAGCTCTCAAGTACCTATCCATCCCTGGGCCTGGACCTGCACATGGCTTGTGTCTACTTTTAGGAACCAGAGGTCTCTAGCAGGGATGGCATACAGGACCCTGCCCTGGTTACTGAGCCCTAAGGTGAAGCCACAATGAAGCACTGAGATCAGCCAGTACTGGAGAGGTGACTAGGAGTGGGGGCACTGCAAGATGGGCTATACCCTGTTGACTCACCCCACTGGTTCCCTAAGTCTCTGGTGAGCACCTATCTCTAATCGTACAGGAAGGTTAATACTATAGCTTTCCTCGGGCCCAACTAGCTCCTGCTAAGATGTGCCCTTCCCCATGGGCAGGAAGCTGGGCAAAACCTTGCACTAATGCTGTGACTCAAGGTGCATGGCTCTCCAGCACCATAGCCCTGTCCTCCCCTGCACAAAAGCATTTGTTAGGCTCCACAATGCCCATGTATCTGAGTCCATGAGGTACCTACAGGAATGTGGGTCCTGGGGGCAGGGCAATATAATACAGGACCTACACACTGGGTCATGTGTCTCCTTGTGAGGTGAAGGCTATGGCCATAGCAAGACCCTTAGAACTGCAGTGGCTTTTTCCCACTAGAGTTGAACGAAAGACTTGACTGTTATCATATAGTATGAGGGTGGGTAAGGTTCAGCTCTTGCTGGGCCCATCCAGGCTGATAAGCCTTGCTGAACTACATGCCATGTGGAACCTCAGCTGATAGTAGCCAGTGGAGGGCATGGTGGGCATAGGAGCACATGGCATTGTTTAGAATCTAGTGACATTACATGGACATGTGGACAAGGTTAGCCTCTTGGGAACAAGGACCTTGAACAGGACAGGAGAGTCAGTCTGAGAGGTAGGCAGGAGGTTGTGGGCATGGAGGAGCTTCTCTGCCTCATCCTCACATGTGATGTGACCAACAGCATCTGAGAGTCCACAAGGCCCACCCTGTCTGGCCAGCTCTCCAAGGAGAGAGCTGGAAGGCAGCTCTCTGGAATCCTGGACTCCACGATAGGACCTAGTCCGGCTTCGAGGTAACCTACACTGACCACAATCAGAAAACAGCGTACCAGCTGCTGTGGTGACTGGGAGGATACAAACAATCCACCTGTGAAAGATACTTGTTGCAGGCAGGACCAGTCACAGGCCAGAAGGGGACTAAGCATGGTCCTAGCCCAGAGCCCGAAGGGCTACAGCTAGTCACGCATGCCATTCTATACTTCAAGGCTAGGCTGAGGAGCCACCTGGACAAGGACTTACAGCTTGGGTAGAGAACTACTAATTATCATGGTTCTCAGCCCCCTGCAAATCTCTGAAAGGAAGCAGCATATGCTTGGCTCAGGGATATGTGAGCAATTCAGAGAAGTGTCTCTCAGCTCAAAATACTGACAGATGGTGTTTTTGCAAAGCACTGGTTCGTGGTTGATGACCTGTCAGCCATGCTCTGCAAAGGACTCAGCCCAGGGAATCCTGGGTGTCTTCACAGGTAGATGAGCTGGCTCCTAGCATGTTGGGCCCAGGTCTACTCTGTTTAGTTCACACTTTTCCACTTGGTCTGTGCAAAGTAAAGATGGTACCAGCTTTTGCTGGAGTTTATGAAGTGGTATTGTGGCTGAGCAGTCCTGTAGTGGTAAGGCAAACTGAGGCTGTCCCTCCCTATGTGTTATCCCTGGTCAAGGTGTATACCCAAAGCCAGACACCTGACTAGGAAGGAGCTAGGGCAGTCAGGGCAGAGGGGAGGGAGCATGGTGGTCTAGGGGTGTTACTCATACACCTAATCTTGGGAGAGTCAACTTCCTCTGCTCAAGCTGTGTGTGTGTGGGGGGTGCATGGAGCCAGCACCAACATGAAGTGGACAGATATGACAGACCAGGTATCCTGCCTCACCTACCCTATGGATCCAGCCACCAACAACAGGAAGCCAGGTCATGTTAACAACCCCTACCTCGGGCTGTGAACTCCTGTCAAGGCTACTGTGCTGGGACAGCACAAAGGCCCAACTCAACCAAAAGACCCAGGAGCGCCACCCTGGCCTTGACACCCTCACCATCGTAGTCGGGAGCTATCTGCAGAAGTGAGAGAATCCCGGGATTGATACAGACAGAAAGACCGACACCTAGCATTTAGTGTTACAATGAAAACTGCAGCTTGACCGGGCATGGTGGTGCACGCCTTTAAAACCAGCACTCGGGAGGCAGAGGCAGGCGGATCTCTTGTGAGTTCAAGGCCAGCCTGGTCTACATAGTGAGTTCCAGGACAGCTGGGGCTACAGCAGGGAGACCCTGTCTCAAAAAGACCAAAACAAAACAAAACAAAACAAAAAACCTGCAGCTTGTATTAGACTCTCAGACAAGAGGGTCTTTTATGTCTTCTTCAGGGCCAGAGCTGGCATCTTGCCCTCCCTGCCTCCAACACTATACACTACACAAACCCCTATGCTTACAAATCGGCACTGGGACTAGCAGACAAGTACTCCATTACCTGCAGGGCTCAAGGTTTCTGGTTGCCAAGGGCAGGCTGGTGCTCTTCCGCTCCTTGCTCTGTAAGTTCCGGGGCAATTGGACACCCACAGTACAGCTCACTCGAAGCAAGAGTGCAACAAACAGCTGGTGGTAGAGCTCAAGCACCACAGTTCCCGATGCTGGAGCAGACAGGACCTCATACAGTGCATAGGTGGCCTGGGACAGAGTCACCACAGCTGTCATACCTCCCTTTACACCAGTGACTTCTGCACCCCTACTCTAAGATCCAAAGGGGTTGGAGCCTTAGCATGTATCCTATGTATACTGGTCTTGGGTCTGCAGTGGGAGGCAGAAGGGGCCCAAGGGACCATAGAGTGGACAGGACAATGTACAGCTCAGCTTTCTTAGTGTTAGGAGAGATGGACAGTATGGCCTTCATGGGGACAGGCCTTGGACCATCTGTTCTCTCCTTAGAAAGGAGAGGAAATTCTCACAGCTGCTTTACTGCTTAAAGTGTGGCTAAGCTGAGTTTATTTTTTTTCTGCAGGATAAAATGTGAAGTGGGCTCCCTTGGGAGCCAACACCTGCTGGGTTTTATGAGCCTTAGCACAGCTGCCAGGTGCTTTCAGGGTACCCATGCCTCCTGTGGGGGCAGGGAGTAGCATGTCAGGTGGCCCCTGAAACCCTACTCACTGCGAGAGGAAGCAGTGTAGCCACACGGTCAGGAGCGCTACCCAGCAAGAAGGACCGGTTCTCCTTGAATGGGACATCGCTGTTAATCTTCTCCAGGAGCAGTCCCAAGACCTGAGTGGTCATGCTGGGCTCCACAGCCAGTGCTCGCCACAGGGCATGAGTGTGACTGGGACAGGAGAGAAAAGTGTCACTTTGAGCCATTGCTGACTACAGCACCACTGGCATCCAGGCCAGGGTCCCTGCCCACCACTGCCTTGTACTGAAGTCCCCCAGCTCCACAAGAATCAGACATGCCAGAATTGGGTCCAGCTGGGAGAGAAATGGTCTCATGATGTCAGATTGGAACTTGCCCCTTCCTGTGACTGTGGGGTCTAGAAACAAGAGCTGGCAACGGCAGGGAGAAGACTGTGGGCCTGTACCCAGAGAGCCTAGGGCAGGGAGAATAGGTCCCTAAGGGATGGCCAGCAGCAAACATTAGGCTTCTCTAGAGGAAACAGCATCCATCCCAGGCCCCCGGAGCAGCACAGGGGCAAAGGATTAAGAACAAGAAGAACTGAGCACAGGGAAATCTACATAGTGAGTTCCAGGACAGGTGGGGCTATAGGGAGACCCTACCTCAAAAAGACCAAAACAAAACAAAAGCAGCAACAAAATAATGAGTCTGAGACACCACACACACACATACACACAGAGTTGTTCACTCCTGATGTACAGCCTCCATGCTGGATAAGAACATAAGCTAGTGGTGATAGATGCCCCCATGCACTCTGTACCCTAACAGCAGGGGCAGCACCCACATAGATAGGGGACACCATCTGGCCCAGTAAAGGCCTCAAGGATTACCTCTGCCCCAACCAAGACAATGAAGAAAGGTGAGACTAACAAGTCCCTATCTTCAGGGGAGGAGGAAGACGGGGAAGACTGCCTTTGGTGAGGTACTGGGAGGTGTACTGGAGACATATTGATATTAGGTACGGACTGAGTTCCCAGGTTCACCAGAGGGGCCCATAGTGGTCATAGGTGGGGTCTGCTCACAGGTGATCATGGCACTCTACAGAGGATAAGCCCTGGAAAAACTAGGGTGATATGGAGCAGTGAGTCACTGAATCATAGAGGACCAGCCAAGCAGTCTTGGGGCCACAGAGGAAGGTAAGGACAGTGGCCACCATGGAGAGTTAGGGGAAGCCTGGCTCAGCAGGTGAGCCCAGGTACAGGGTCTCACCCAGGATCCTAAGATACCTGGAGAAGGACAGTTATCTTGGGTACCGGAGAGGTAAGGCTTTTTCAATGTGATTATCTGTCCCACAAGCCCAGGTCCATGGGAACTCATGCAGAAAACCTAATGGGTGGGGGGGTGTTGAAGCACACACAGGAAAACCTCCAAAGCTGGAGTCCGGCTTCCGCCCAACAGGCTCAAGGTGCCAAATACCTGTCAAAGGGCAGGGGACTGCTCAGGAGACTGGACACCACAGCTTCGCAGTGCTGGGATGCTAGGAGGTATATGCTGTGCTGAGCTGCTGGTAGGACATATTCCTCCTGGGTTTCCCGCAGCTTGGCTCGCAACACACTCACAATCTCAGGTACCTGCAGACAAGACAGGACCAGGTGGGACACTGCAGTCAGGGTTTAGAGCTGGGACAGCCCAGGGCACACACCCATACCAGGCCTGAACACAGGGAGAGGGAACACAAGGTATACCCATTAGCACAGGCTATGGGAAGGGAAGGCCCTAGAAACCCAGCTCCTGATTGCTGGCCACAGGCCTATGGCAGAAAGGTCTAAACTAAGCTAAGAATAAGACCCCAGATCCCACACAGGAAGAGACAAGTAGGCCATAGCCCAGTGGTAGTGCATTTACCTAATATACAGGAGACCCTCCATTAGATCACTGCAGAGGAGGGAGGGGAGGGAGAAGGGATGGAAAGGGACATCCACTGGGAGGTACTGAGAGCAGATGAGGGGCATGAGGTACAGTGAGTCCCTTGAGCCTCCACAGTGCTCCTGTAACCCAGCCTCTGTCTGCTGGAGGCAGGACCCATATGGAGTCAGGCTGATGACAAAAAAGAGAACTAGACCCATGAGTAAGACTGGAGTTAAGGGGACTTAGAGAGGGCCCTGGTACAATTCCTGTCTGAGTCTATGGGTGTCCTGCTGCTCCCCAAAGCAGGGGACATAAACACTGGGGAGCATGGGCAGGTGAGTGAAAAAAATCTCTTGCCCAGGAATCCCCTCAGACCCACCCTAAGTCCAGCAGCTGGCTTTGTAGCCCTGACTAGTCAACATGTAGCCTGGCTCTAGACAGTCTGGTGTGGTCTGGCTTGTGAGTCTCCTCTCTGGTTCTAGTCACAGCAACCCCCAGGAGCCAAAGCTGCATGGCTAGAAATCGTGTCAATGAGGGGTCATCTTGCGCCTGGGGGAGGTTGATACTGCCCAGGGATACTCACTTCTATCCTCAGCAAGGGACCCACTAGATGAATTGTGTGGCCAAGCAGACCAGGAAGTTCTGTAGCAAAATTAGATGTAGGAAAGACTTTGGACCCAATGGGGAACTGTCAGGCCACGCCATGCCCTTCTTGGTGGAGGCAGAGCCAGGGCCAGTCAAAGAAGGGCCCAGAGGGCTTGTCAGTGTGGGTGGCACAAGGCATTCCCTCGTTACTACAGGGGTCAGAGGTATGAGCATGACACTGTGCCTTTATCTTCTGGCTCCATGTCCTAGGCCAGCTGTGGCCTCAACAGGCCTCTGGCCTCTGGATACTGACAAGTGAGAGCTTCCTTCATGCTTCTGGCTTGTTTGTTGGTTGGCTGGTTGTATTTTTGGTGGGAAAAGTTGATTTGTGGGCATCATGTCAGGACTGAGCTGTACTCTCAGTCCCTTTCTCAACTTTACAGTGAGGTGCTGTGTCTCTAATAGGTTTTCAGCCCTGTTCTGCTCCTGGCCTACTGCTTAGGGCAATAATTTCTGCAAAACACTTTTCTACCAATCATGACAGCAGTGGCTAAGTGTGGAGGCCTTGCAAGTAGGGCTGGTTTCCACATCATTCTGGCTTAGGACCCCTGAGTGCCTACCTTACCTTCTCACCAAATTCTGCACAGAACCCTGCTTCCTGGGCAAGTAGGCAGGCTCCATCTAGTCTCTGGACAAGGGGCTGAACTCCAGCTGTACCTATGCCAGGCAAAGCCTTCACCTTCCAAGCTGTGTGGGTTCACCTCCCAGTTCTTGGAATCTTTGTGGCCCTTCTCCTCTGCCGTGAGCCCCTGGGAACACTCCTGCCCTAGCTGTTGGCTTCGTCTAGGCCATGTGTTCACAGCAGCTTCGTGAAATACGGTCCCAGGACCACACAGTCCACATACTGCAGTGTGTGGTAGCACACTGATCACTCAATCATTTCAGAACATTTCTGTACTCCAAAAGAAATCCTGTCCTTATGAGTCCAGCCCCTAACCCTCAAATCTGCCTTCTCTGTGGATCTACCTGTTCTGTGTACTTCATGGAAAAGAACTGCACAGTGTATGTATTTCTTTCTGGCTTTCATTTGGCACAGTGTTTCTCAAGGTTCATCCACATTGCAGACTTATTACTTCATTCCTTTGTATGGCAAAATAATATTCCATTGTATTCATGGACCATATTTTCTTCCCCCGTTCACAAACTAGTTGACATTTGATTGGTGTGGTTACGAACATCTATGTGTAAGTTTCTGTATGCACACATCCTGGGTTGTGCCTAGGGGTGCTTGGTCACGTGACCCTGAATCCCACTGAGCATATTCCAGCCTAATTCTTCTGTGGTAGCCCTTTCTGCCCCAGGCATTTCCTTCATTGGCATCTCCTCTTGCCTGTGCTCCTTGAGTTTCTGCACCACAACCCCAATGACCCTCCTCCCCTCACCTGACATGGGTGCTAGAGAGACAGCATGTTCTCCTGCCCTGCCTCACACTCCTCTGTTCACCATCATGATGTGGTAGGTGGAGGCTCAGTCTGCCATGTGCCACACTGACTCAGTGTTAGAGAAACCAGAATTCCAACAGCACCAGCCTGGAGTCTCTCAGGGTAGGGATGTTTTTTATGACCCTGAAGGGCCAATGAATCCGACATGCTAAATTACATGGTGACTGAGGTGCAACCCATTCAAAACTAAGCCTCAAGGTCAGCAACACAGCTCCTGGCTGGGTCTGGTAGTTCAGGCCCATGTGGAAGCACCTGACTTTATAAAGAAAAAGGAGACCCAAAACTAAAGCTCTGGGAAGAGAACAGGGCAAAAGCCTCATGACAACGGATCTGGCAATGATGGACACAATACCCAAAGTGCAGGCAACAAGACAGAAAAGCAGGGGGCTGGAGAGACGGCTCAGCAGTTAAGGGCACTGGCTGCTCTTGCAAAGGACCCGGTTTGGTTCCTAGGACCCACATGAAGACTAACAACTGTCTGTAACCCTAGTTCAGGGGGATTTGAGGCCTTCTGACCTCCATAGGCATTGCACACATACAGGCAAAATACTTATACACATAAAACAAATCAATCAAAAATAAATAATTAAATAAATAAAGCAGACAAGAGGGTCTAGATCAATCTCAAAACTTCTTGTGCCAAAGGACAAACTAACAGTGAAAAGTCACCACAGAATGAAGCACATGTTTGCAAATCACATATCTGATAAGGGATTACTATTCAAAATGTATGAAGAACCACACACAACAAGAAAATTGGCTTGAGGGCAGGTAAGGGCTCAGCAATCAATTCTTGGAACTTACATAAAAGTAGATGGGAAGAATTGACTCCACAGACCTTTATATATCCTGTGGCATGAGCCTATATATCCTGTGTGAGCCTTCCCCCTCGCCTCACCACATCATGCACACATACACACACAAGTAAAAAAAAACAAACAAACCCAAAACTAGTTTGAACAGACATTTGCCCAAAGAGAATGCACAGATAGTAAAGAAACCCATACGCAAATATGCTTAGCCTCATTAACCATCAGAGACTAATCTATACCAAAAGGATGGAGCTGGGGTGCTATGTGTATTGTTTCAGGGCATGGTACCGCATGCCTTTAATCCCAGCACTTAGAAAGCAGAGGCAGGTGGATCACTGTGAGTTCAAGGCCAGCCTGGTCTTCATAGCAAACTTCATGCCAGACACGGCTACACAGTGAGACCCTGTCTCAAACAAAACAATGTGCACTGCTCTTGGAGAGCACCGAGGTTTGGGTCACAACTGCCTGTAAGTCCAACTCAGTGGAATCTGACGCCGTCTTTTGGCCTCTTCAGGCACCTGCACTCTGTGCATGCACACACATAAACATAATTAAAAACAAATTAAAAAAAACAACACAACGTGAGATGGCTCAGCAGGTAAAGATGTTTGCTGACAGTCCTGAGCACCAGAGTTTGATTCCCTAGAACTCACATGGTGGCTGTACTGACTTCACTAAGATGTCTTCTGTGCTCCAAATGTGTGCTGTGGCACATGCATCCACATGTGTCCCCCCAACCCTCCCTGCCAAAATTAACAAAAGAAAAGACACAAATGAGTCACACTTCATACCATCAGGGTGATCACTCTAAAAAAGGCAAACAGAAAATTATGTTGAAAAGGGGGCAGAAAAATGGAATCCTCGTGTGCTACAGGCATAATATAAATGGTGCCACCACTGGCTTCTCAAAAAATTAAACACGGGGCCAGTGAGATGGCTCAGTGGGTAAAGTACTTCCTGCCAAGCCTGATGACCTGAGTTTGATCCATGGAACCCATATGGTATAAGAGAGAACCAACTCCTGCAAGTTGTCTTCTGAATTCCCACATGTGAGCCACGGCATGCATACATATACACACATACTTACACACAAAATAAATGTCAAAAAATATTAATCTGGGCAATGGTCAAAGAAGTGAAAGTAAGGACTTTAGAAATTTGTGCATCTGTGTTCACTGACGCTTCACTCACAAGAGCCAAGAGGAAGAAGCAGCCCAAGTGTCCACCATCAGATGACAAGCAGCAAAGTGAACTGTACATATGCTGGACTTAGCCACATACTTAGTGCCCACCACCTCCAGCTAAATTCTTCCCTCTCAGTTTGTAGAGGTCCCAGGGCATCCTCTGACATCTGACCAGGGAGCCTTGTGCCTTCAGAAGACAGGCGCAACTGCAGCAGGCAGACCCAAGCAGCATGCTGTGCCCCATCTCCCTCCGGCTTCACTCTCCTCCATGGTCCCATTAGACAGTTTCTCTACACTGTCAGCCTCTTCCATCAGCTACTCAATAGTACTTGAGCACCATCCCTTTTGAGGGGTACACCATGTGAGCGCAACTCTGAGGGCCCTTCTGTTGGCCACTCCTTTCTTCCCTACTGGTTAGTTCCTGCCTGACCTCCTATCCAGGAGCAAAACTGCCAGAATACTCAAGGTACTCCTGCAGATCAGTAAGAAAAGCACAAACAAACCACCATGGAATCGGGCAAAAGACTGGTGTCCTCACAAAAGAGGGCAATAAAGGGTCAGCAAAAATTGCAAATTAAATCCTAACATGGAACATCACAAGCCCATGACAAAAAGACAGGAACTGGAGCCTTGCACAAACCACAACTCCCCAGGTGTGTCTCAACTGGGATGTGCCCTTAGGTTCTGGTATCATGACAGCTTTCTTCTACATAGTCCAGACCAGGAACTAGCTAAGTGCACTGAGGTGGCAGATGAAAAGATGTCGGTTAGCACTAGGAACAAGGAAGTCTCACTTCCATACCATCTGCAAGACAATGGACAATGGAGTGGGGAGGTGCAGATGGCCTGAGGTGTCAACTGGCAGCAGGGAAGACTTGGAAGCTAGCAAGTGGCTCTGCTTATGAACAACTGTGTGAACTGACACCTCAAGTCCTCTGCTGGGATGCCTCACTTCAAAACAGAAACCCAAAATTCCCTCTAGCAAATGGGCTAGCCTTAAACTCCCTATATAGCTGAAGCTGGCCTTGAACCCCTGATCCTCTTTGCCTCCCTACAAAGTGCTGGGATTACAGTTGAGTACCATTGTTTTAGCTGTCCCCCACCCTTCAGCCCCTGGGCTCAAGTGATCCTCCTGCCTTGGCCTCCCAAATGGGCAGGACTAAGGTTGACAGGATACAACCAGGTATGGAACGTTCCTTTTCCCTCTTAACTTCTTAATAGAGTTGCTTTTATCAAGTTCTAATTCATCTTCAGACAAGAAAAATATTTGTTCAAATCAGGCCCAGTGTAAATACAAATAGTTGTGAGGATCAAACAGGGGCAACTAGACAGAGAAGTCTGGGATACCCAGCCCTAGTCCTCCTCAGCCTTATCCCAGTGCCTAGCATGCTCTACCCCACCTTCTCCAGCAGCACGCTGCCCCGTTCCTTCAGCAGGCAGTTGATCATGACTGTGGCTGCCCGGGAACAATTTTTGTCTGGGTCTGCCAGGCCTTCAAACATGGTCAGCAAGAGACTGATGAGCTGGTCTGGTGGGAGGCGCTTGGCGATAACCTGGGAGAAGGGTGATGCCAGGAGAACAAGATAAGAGTCAGCTTCATGCTGCCTCCTAAAGAAAAAACTCAAGGGTTTAGCTCTCCCTGCATCCCCTTCTTCCCACTTCTTAGTTTGGACTACTCCAGGAAGGTGGTCTTTGGGTAGCTTCAGAACTGGGGTCAAATGGGATAGAACAGTTTCTTGTGGAGCTGCTCTGGAACTCTCTAAAACACAGGGAGTTCTGGAGAGGTCTGCTGGTGTACCACCTGAGAAAGCCCTTCAGCTCCCTTCAGCTCAGCTGCTTCTTCCATCTCTCAACATAGGAGCTATACCAGGAGGAGGAGCAGGGGGAGGAGCGGGAGGGGGAGGAGCAGGGAGGGGGAGGAGCAGGGGGAGGAGGGGTCAAGTGGGCGCAAAAACAAGAACCAAGAGGAAAGGCATTTCCAGAAAGGGTCCTGGTGGCCTTTCCTATGCTCCTCCGCTAGAGGTCCTAGCAATGCAGCAATGATCACTGGGGGAAGGGGGAGTGGCTGGGCACACAAACGAGGGTGTACTGTGGGAGGAGCCACTTTCTTCATGCTCGGAGCCCTGCTGGGCTTCAGACTGGACATCAGATGGGCACGGCAGGATGGTCCAGGCTGGGCATGGCACCCAGGGAGTACAGAAAGAGAGAGGCCATGAAAGAGACACTTTGGTCCACAGCTGCCCTTCCAAATGCTGTGAGACAAAGTCCCTCACAGCCAGCCAGAATCAAAGACAGGACCTGTTCAGGACCATGCATGCAGTTCTGGGTACAGGCAGCACGTGGGCCAGTTGGACTTCAAAGCTGGACCCAATCTCTCTTGGGCATCCAAAAGCCCACCACACAACACACCTTGCTCTTGCCCAGACTGTGGGGTTACATAGTAGGTAGGTGTGGCAAACATGGCATTACTGGTCAGATGGGGACCCTAGACACCAGATCTCTGATGAAACCTGCCTACAGGTAGCTTCTCGGGGTTCCTGGCCGTGTCTGCTGAGTCAGGGGTACCAGGTGTTACACTGGAAGTCACTTAGCTCCAGACACTGTAGTCCCCTCTTTCCCACTGTAAGGGTCCCACAGATACCTGGGCTATGCTGTGGCAGGTGTGGAAAAGAATGGTGGGGTCAGGGTGCACGAGGTCATCTTTCAGGGTGAGGAGCCGATCAGCCACATCATCACGATGATTTCGGGAAAAGCCTATGGGTAAGGGTTAGCTGAGGCCTTCTCTGGTGATCCTGCAGCCTGATCCCAGTGGCTGATCCCTTGGGTACCTCTGCCCTCTATGGCCCTCATGTCCCTAGCAGGGCTCACCCTCATAGCCCAGCTGTAAGTAGAGCAGGGAGTAGACACAAATGACAGCCTCCTGGCGGCTAGTAGGCCATGTATCAGCACACCGTGGGGAGAAGAGGCCAATGAGGAGACCCAGGTTGTGAAATGGCACCAGAGCCTGGAAGAGATGGAGAAAAGGGAGGCCGAGCTGTAGGAATTCTGGGAGGTAGTCAAGTAGGACCTCCAATAGCAGATTCCAGAGGACAGCCATGAGGCCTGGGCCCTACAGCCCTGGGAGCTCCCTGGGGCTGACAGTCACAATAAAGCTTTTCTCCCTTCATGCCTAATCTACCTGACTCCCTAAGTATGGAGAGCAGGGATCCCCAAAAAGGGCAGCAGAGGAGGAGGCACAAGGGCTCTGCTGATTCAGCTACCACCCTTGGGAAGACCCTCCCTAGGTGGTAAATCCCTGTGGGATAGAGGGAGGAAACGGGACACACTTTTATCTTGTGTGGGTCATAGCTCATCCTTGAAGTTCTGTTGCTGACCTTCTCTCCCTCCTCTGAGCAGACAGCTTCCCTGCCAGTGTTGCAAATGACTCCACACCCACCCACCATGCCTCCTGTGGCTCCCTCTCATCCCTAATCAGTGCACAGATTCTCAGGCCTCACTACTCCTGAAACTGCATTCCAAAAGTCACCAGGCAAGAAAGGAGAATTTCAGGTCAGCAGGGAAGGATTGGAATACAAGACTACAGGGTCTGGGGACAGGTGGCTACTATTATCAGTGTGGCTAGATCCATGGCAACATCAACCAAGACAGATGCCAGTCAGGCTAAGGTTATAGGAAAAGCACACAAGTGTACACACACACACACACCCCAAAACTACCGAGAAAAAGCCCACAATGATTGCAATAGGTGACAAAAGGGTGTTTGCAAAAATCCACTATCTGTCTCAGATAAAAATTCTCATTAAAACAAGGCCAGGCATGGCACACGCCTTTAATCCCAGCACTTAGGAGGCAGAGGCAGGCAGATCTTTGTGAGTTCAAGGCTAGCCTGGTCTACATAGTGAGTTCCAGACAAGCTGGGGTTACAGGGAGACCCTATCTCAAAAATAATAAAAAAAAGAAAAATTCTCATTAAAACAAGTCAGTGCCAATCAAATTAAGTAGCTTGGCAGTGAAGACCTGGTACATCCCTCTGGGGAGTGGCTAGATCACCCTGAGCCGAGCCTAGGGAAGTCCTCTACTGCAGGTCCTCTGTCCAGGTCAGAGGAATGTAAGCCAAGTGGGACTGGAAGCAGGAGGAAGGCCACAGAGTCTATGAGATGCTCTGGGGTATAAGGAACACAGACAATAGTTCCCAAGTGGAGGACTCATGGAAGGGATGAAGGCCCGAGTTCAGTACTTACACTGACATGCAAATGTTCCAGGAAGAATTTCAGTAGACAGGCACCCAGGCCAAGTGCCCGTGCCCGCTCGTGGCCCCTTGAGGACTTGATCCACGGGCTCAGATGCTGCACAAGAATGGGTTTCACATAGGTACGGGCTGGGGGAACAACCCAGGAAGACAGAAGCCCCGATTCCAAGGACTTGCTCAGGGACTGAGGCCCATGCTTCAAGGGCTACAGGAAGCCAAGTGGGACCCAGGGTGGCTCCCACATCAAGGTCTGCTGCAATTCACCCCATCCATCCTAGCTGACTGACAGCAATCAAAGCCTATGGTATCGGGTACTTAGACTAGAGATTGGTACTGCCCCAGCCCACTGTAGTGCTGGAAAGAATTGGAAAGATTCTAATTCAGCAGGGCATGCATCCTGCCATCTTGTTAGCCCCAAGGGGTCGGGAGCTCCTGGCCATGACCCACATCTTCCATCCCAGCATACTGAGTAGTCGAACGACATGCTGTGGAGATACCATCGCCTCATAGCTGCCCAGGCAGGAGGGGTGCTGCCTACCTGCTCAGATGCCCCCCTCAGAGAGGCTATCAAACTGTATCTGCAGTATCTAACCAGTGTGGGGCAGGAGAACACAAAAAGGGCCAGCAACTAGGTAGGGTATCCCATCTCTGTCTCCCATAGAGTGCACACCTCAACTATAACTTGCAGACCCTGGGGGGTCATGTTCCGCCGCAGCAGACTCGTCAGCAAATCTTCAAGGGCACGCGCCGTGTCCAGATACAGGGGCTAGAAAAAAGTCAAGCCACCAGACCCATGCACAACCCTACCTCTTACTGCCTTACTGCCCCCCACGGATATGGCAATACCTCCTGGCAGGCACCATCTTCCCCTTCCGGCTCAGGTGGCAAGGCCATGACACTATGTAAGCAGCTGTGTATCACATCTGCCTGTGTCTGCTCCTCCAATGCAGGCTCCAAGTTGCTGAGTAACAGGTTAAGGGCCCCAAGCGATAACCCCCAGGACAGGTCTTCTCCAGTCCCACTTCCCAGAAACCACTGGGTTTATGTGAATGGCATAGCCACCACCACATTCAGAAAGCTCCATCCAGGCCTGTAACTGCAGCCCTTGCATGTACATACAGATCCATAGGTTCATGCAGCCCAGAGAGGCAGGGAAGGATACATCAGGTATGTGCAGGCAAGCATGGCTTTCTTCCGAATGGGCGTTTTCAGGCAGTCTGGGGGTTCTGCATTGATGAATTCCTTGGGGAGGCAGCATAGTATTCACCCTTAGAGGAGGCATTAGCTTCCCCACTGCTCAGCCCGTCTTTCACCCCAAGTGGTGGTTGAGGCCTCCAAGGTACAGAGCTCTATCTGTTCCCACAAAGACGGTCACTGGGTTCCCGGGCTGCATCACTGCGTGCCTCCTTCTGGCCTCCCCAGGTCCCACTTCCATTGTCTGCTAGCAGCAGCCTCCCAGAACTCACCACCATCTGTGCCACCAGCTCCGCTTTCCTGGAGAAGTGGAAAGAGCTGGCCTGTATGCTACTACAGACGGCCTGGCTGACCATGCACAGGCTTTGGACAAGGCACAGCTTCAGGGCTGGATCCTGAGGGAAGAGCTGGCTGCAGGAGATATCCATACCTACCCCTAGAGCTGCTCTGTCCAGAGTGACCACAGGGCAGGCCCAGCAGCAGAGGGCAGTGCACATGCCCTTTCCTGAGCAGCCAAGAGACATAGCCACAGTGATCAGAGCCTGTAGCAGCCTCTTGACCAAGGAAGAACTTGGTCAAGTTTTGGGGAAAGTCCTAGGGCCATGGAGCAGCTGCTGTACAGTATACTCAGAGTCTTGAAGCAGGAGAACTTCACAGGAGGTGTGAGAAAGGCCATCCTGAATGCACAGGCTGTCATGCCCTCCTACTCTTGGGGGCTGGGGAAAAAGAAACTAGAAGTCTTATAATCCCAGTCTACCCCAGGATGCTCCCTACTCTTTGGGATGGGTCCAACTATCAGGTTAGTGTTAGAGATGTCAGAAGGGAAGCATGTTAGTGAGGTCAAGGAAGCCTTCAGCCTCTGTCCACTGGCTCTGGGCTTAGCCCTTCCCTAGGTGCTCCCTGAGGTCTAGCGAGGGACAGATCCAAAGGCACTGGAAGCAGAGCCAAAGGAAATGAGCAAGGAGCCATCACTGGGCTGTGGGGGCCACAGCTTTTGGTCTACCAACTGGTTCCAGGAATGTGGCCCTAGACCAGCTGCCAGAGGCAGGAGAATCCCTGCTCTGCCCCCAACAGTTCAGCCACTGCAGCTTCAAGATGTGTTGTTCCAAAGGGAAGTGGGCAGAAGGGTCCTAGAGCCATACTCCAGGATGTTCCCCAAGACCATCAGGACCAGGACACCCAGATGACTGTGGCTCTTCCCCAAAGCCCAACCCAGAGGAGAGAGAGAAAAGCACAGTTCACACGTAATTGCTAGACACTGTACCTTGGTCTCTACTTTTATTCCCAGAACCTAAACAATAAAAAGTGAAACAAAATAAGACTCTGGTGTTGTGTGGCCGGCCCTCAAAGACCACTGCAATGCCCACCTTGGTACTGAAGCACTGAAACATGTTGCGAAGTACGTCAGACTCCACTTTGGCCAGCAGGAGTTCATGGGGGGCCTGTGCAGCCACGTGTCCATAGCACAGGATCAGAGCACTTTTCATCCTTTCCACCTCATGCTCACTTCGATCCTGGGAGAAATCAGCAGGGTATCAGTTAATTATTCTCCACAGGAAGCCTTGGTCTGGAATTGTGCTTTCTAAACTCCTTCAATGCTCCTGGAGGGGTTAAAGCCAGCCAGCAACACCTGGCCAACCCAGGGAATGGCAAGAGGTAGACCAGATGACCAGCATAGGCCCACTGAAAACCAAATGGCAGAGGGAATAGGCTGAGGCAGTGGGGTCAAGGAGGAAGGGAGCAGTGGACAGTGGACAGAAGAACTCAGGGACCTAGCCACTGAAAGATGGCAGGGTTGTGCCTGCAGACCAGCCCTTTGTACTAGGGCCCGGTAGACATATGCAGTAGAAAAGGTAGGCAAGCCCTTGATTGGGTCAGCCCTGAGAGTAGAACGAGAGACAGAGCAAAAGGCTAAGAGTTGGGCATGGTGGAGCATTCAGGAGGTTATGGCAGGAAGATCTTGAGTTTGCGGTCAGTGTGGGCTATATAGGAGTCTGTCTCATGAATGAATGAACAAATGAATGAACGAACAGAGGGACAACAGCCAGGGTGAGGACAGGGAGGGAGGTACATTCCCTCCTTAAATCAGGCTCTGGGTCTGATTTAAGTTGCAAGAACAGTCTCTACAGGCCACTAAAGGGCAAAGGTCAGCACAGACAGCCTGGCTATAGAGGAGATGAAGCTTTCAGTTTGCCCACCTGTCATGGTTCATACAGAAAATGTCCCCAAGCTCAGGTGCCCCGGTACAGCAGTGATCAGAGAGAGGTGGGGTCTTTGAAAATGTCCCCAAGCTCAGGTGCCCCAGTACAGCAGTGATCAGAGAGAGGTGGGGGCTTTGAAAATGTCCCCAAGCTCAGGTGCCCCAGTACAGCAGTGATCAGAGAGAGGTGGGGGCTTTGAAAATGTCCCCAAGCTCAGGTGCCCCAGTACAGCAGTGATCAGAGAGAGGTGGGGGCTTTGAAAATGTCCCCAAGCTCAGGTGCCCCAGTACAGCAGTGATCAGAGAGAGGTGGGGTCTTTGAAAATGTCCCCAAGCTCAGGTGCCCCAGTACAGCAGTGATCAGAGAGAGGTGGGGTCTTTGAAAATGTCCCCAAGCTCAGGTGCCCCAGTGTAGCAGTGATCAGAGGCGGGGCCTGTGGGAGGCAACTGGAACATCAATGGTTTAATCCACTGACAGATTCAGGAGTTGGTAAGTGCTTTGATATAAAAGCTCTCTCTGGCCAGGCATGGTAGCACACGCCTTTAGTCCCAGCACTAAGGAGGCAGAGGCAGGCGGATTTCTGAGAGTTCAAGGCCAGCCTGGTTTACATAGTGAGTTCCAGGCTAGCTTGGGCTACAGGGAGACCCTGTCTCAAAAAGACAAAAAAAAAAAGTTCTGTTTCTTGGCTGCCTTGAGGTGAGCAGCTTTCTTCACCACGCCCTTCCACCATGCTCGCCTTATCACTTATCAACTGGGCCAAAATAAGTTTTTTCTCCTTATACTTGATGTATCATAGGAGTGACAAGCTGACTAACACACCATCTGTGCTCCTCAGAGCCCTCTAATCACCCACGGCTGGGAGCATACCACCATCACCAGCCAGATTGGCTTCTGGGAGGTCCTCTGCTGAAATACAGGAAGCAAAATGACTATAAGCAAGGTGCTTCCTGTTTACCCTGAGCCTAAGGGGACTCAGCCCCAGCCTCAATCTTGAGAAAGAACAGAGCTGCCATGAGAGGTGCAGGATCCCATCCCTCCCCAGACATTAAAATGCCAGGCAGCAACAGATAGGTCTTCCCACCCAGGGCTCCATCTGGGGTTATGATCTCCTGACCTTAAAAATACTGAAGATGCCAATGGACTTCCTGAACACATCCGACTTCACAAAGTCCTCCAACTGTGCCAGAGTGTCCTCAAGGTGGGCAATGGCACAGATCCCAAAGCAACAGGCAAGACCCTAGGAAGGTACACACTTGCTTATGTTTGGGTACAGAGGCCCACTTGCCTTCATGCTGTGTGGGGAGAACACACACATACATACCCATAGACTACATATGTGTGGGAATACAGATGATATACAGAGCACTATGCACATACATACCTGTAGCACACTGTACACACATGCAGATGCAGGCAGTGCACTAGACACATGTACCTACATGCTCATAGTACATTCATGCACGCACTAATATAGCTGCCTGACAGGCGGTAGATGCCCACTGCTCAGCAACCCTAGGCACCAGGGGCTTCACACCTCCCGTTCTGCTTCCTCCTGATATCTGGCTGTCTCCAGCAGCTCTCGAAGGTGTTTTCTCACCACCTCCTTACTCGAAGCAGTGCCTAGTGTGGTTCCTATGCATTTATACAGGAAGTTCTAAAACAAAGGCAGAGAACACAGCTGCATTTGACTCCTGAGCAGATGGACACCTAGTTGGCACTGTTTATGGAAAGCTATACATTCAGCAGGACATAGGAGGGGGCCCCCAAGAGGATGGAAGGGTGAATCCCAGGCTTGTCTGAGGAGCAAGAGGCAGGCAGGAGGCCCCTGTCTCCCAGCTGTGAGCTGCAGTGAAGAGGTACATAGCTCTGCCTGGCTGCCAGAGTCATGAGACAAAAGCATACAGAAAGAAAGACTCAGGGCACAGGAACCAGGGTCCAAGGATCCTGCAGAGACCCTTGCTCCTAGCTGGCCTGTCCCTGGCACCTTCTCCTGGGGTGTTCCATTGTAAGAGGATAGCTGCTTGCACATCTCCAGGCTCAGCTGGCAGATCCATGTGTCGTCAGAAATCACAGCCAGGGTATCTCGCAGGAACTGTGGATGACAGCACCAGTGAGGCCTGGCTGTGGAAGGGTCTGAGGCCTGGGTATGTCACACGAGACCCTTAGAGTAACTCCTGCTAGTAAGTGATCTTTGGACTAAGGAGCAGGCAGGAGAACAGAGCAAGCCTTTGGTGGGGAACAATGAGGCTTGGAACACAGATGGCTCTGGACCAGGCTGAGAGGTGGGAGGGGGAAAAATCATTTCCTGTGGCCAAGAGGCCCCAAAGCTCCTCAAATTTGGTGCTGGCTGCTACAGAGTGGGAGCCCTGTCACAGTAATCTGAGGCTGGCCACCATCGCTGCTACAGAGTGGGAGCCCTGTCACAGTAATCTGAGGCTGGCCACCATCCTCACCCTAAAGACTCCCCTACTGCTGAGCCCATCCCCTAGTCACACCATCAGGTGAAATCAGGTGACACATCTCTGGGAAGGCGCAGTACACAGTATCCCCATCTGCTGCCCCAGCCCTCCCTGCCAAGACCCAGAATGTCCCAGTGGAACACAGGCCCTTAGTCTCCTATCCCGTCTCTCACCACTAGAAGCTTTTCTTGCCATTCCTTCCGTGACAGGGTTTCCTCAGTGTGCTCTGAAATGACCAATCACCCAGTTGGCCACGGTCCTGACAGGCAGGTTCATTCCAACATGCACAAATGGATTGTCAGTGCCCAGGCCCTCTTCTTCATCTTTGGGAACTCACAGAAGGAGTGCAACAGCAGACAACCCACTATGGGCCGTACCCACCTTCCACATGCCCCCAAATAACACCTCTTGAACCATCCAGGCCTTTTCTTAGATTACAGCTAGGATGCCTGCTTCCAATTTACAAAACCCTGGTCTGCACCAGCCAGCCCTAATGACACCTGGCACAAGTGGGGTCAAGGGTGGCTGGCGGGCCCCCTAGCTTCACTGGCCTCACCATCCAGGTACTGTAGCAGCACAGGCACGGTTGTCTCCCAGTGCTGACCCAGCAAAGGGTGGATGTTCCAATGTAGAACCTTCAGGAGGCGCAGTGAAGCTGCCCCACGTCCATCCCCCAGGTAGGGGTTGGAAGACACAACCTGAGAGAGGGGGAGAAGGGAAGGATCTAAGCAGGGAGTCACCCAGACCTCCAGGTACAAATGTAGCAAGATAGCTCCAGGGGCCACAGTGCATAGCACAAGGAGCTACTCCCCAGGAGTGAAGGAAGCACAAGGTGGGTACTCCACTGAGAAGGCAGTAAGGCCCACAGCCTGCTACAACTACTGACAGGGGTTCTGGGACACAGAGAGCCCACTCCTCCACCAGACAATACTAGGGTTGAGCTGACACCTGATGAGTGTCTCCCATTAGGGGAAGTGCCAGCCAGTATAGTGACAGACTCTTTGCTTACCAGCAGTCTTGTGGTCACAGCATAGGGAGACGGGAGGTTTGCTGGACAAGAGACACGGAAACAGTTACAGGGCAGGGATAGGCACAGGGCAGAAAGGATGGGGTCATATGCAGGGGAGGCAGCTTAAGTGGGACCATGCAAAGGCAGCAGTTGGAGTGGGATCAGCAGCAGGGGCAGGGGTAAGGGTGGAGAGCTGAGAAGGGGTCAAGTGTGCGGGTGTGGCACTGGTGGGGTCAGGTGCAAAGTGGCTGGGCCTCCACACCATGCGAGTTGAACTGGACCAGGAAGGCATCTGCCCCTGCCTCCTGCCTCTTCAGGGCCAAATGCACAAGGCTCCTGCAGAGTGGGGTGAGGGCTGCAGTGAAGCGCACTGGGGTGAGGAACTCGAGCAGGTAGGGCCAGAGAACCTGAAGGATAGAGGGCCATGGTCTACAGACTGCAAACAGATGGGTCCGGCCTTCAGGGCGACAAAGCAGAAGCTGCTCCCTACTCCTATACAGGGGCAGGGCAGCCTCTGAGGAGCTCATCTGGACAGTGTGTCCCTGCTGAGGCCTAGAGAGCCTCTAAGCACTGCCCAGCCACTGCCCTAGCAAGACCATAATATCCACTTCACTGTTCACTTGTCACTGAAGTCAGGGACAAGGAGAGCAGGAAACCTCAAAGACGGAGAGCTCAAGCAGCAAGCCTAAAGCCAAAGGCAGACAGACTCACATTGCTCATCCTGTCCACCGTGGTGCTGACCAGGTAGAGGGTGCGGATGCTGACTGCCCGCACACTATCTGCTGCTAGGTCCTCACCATCTGGGCCTGGCTTCTCGGGCTGCAGAAAGAGGTGAAACAAGATTATACATGGCAGCTGCCCACATACCAGCTAAGCGTGAGGAGGGACGAGGCTGGACAAGGAAAGGAAGCAGGAAGACCCACCTTGGGGGAGAATGTATCAGCTGCCAGAGGCAAGTGTACTAAAATCAGTTGAGCAGGGCTGGTGAGATGGCTCAGTGGGGAAAGTGCTTTCTGTGCAAGCCTGACAATATGAGTTTGACCCTCAGATCCCATGGTGGAAGAAGAAACCAACTCCTGAAAGTTGTTCTCCAACCTCCATGTGTGGCTGTGGCATGTGTTTGCCAGTCTCAGGTATAGTATGCACAGTAAATACAATTTAAAAATTTAAAGACATCCAAGACAGGATTGCCTGGCTCAGTTCTCATTTCCTGTAAGCAACTGACTCCATAAAAAATTAACTTTGTTGGGCCAGCAAGAGAGCTCAGCGGATAAGGGCACTTGCTGTCATGGCTGATGACCTGAGTTCAATCCCTGGGACCTACATGGTGGCAGAAAGAGACTTGACTCCTATCAATTGTTCTCTTGACTTCCATATGCGCGCGCGCACACACACACACACACACACACACACACACACACACACACAAATTAAATAAATGTGATAAAATTTATTTTTTAAATATTATTTTTATTTTATGTGTATGAGTGTATTGCCTGCATGTATGTGAGTGCACCCATGTCCTGCAATGCTGCGGAGGTCAGAAGAGGGCTTCGGATTCCCCTGGAACTGGAGTTAGGATGGTTTGTAGCCGCCATATGGGTGCTGGGAATCAAACCTGGGTCCTCTGCAAGAGCAGTCAGTGCTCTTAACCACTGAACCATCTCTCCAGCCCCAATATTTTTAATTTTTATTCATTTTATTTTGTGCATTTTGCCTTCACGTACGTAAGTGCAGTATATGCATGCAGTGCCTGTGAAGGCCAGAAGAAGATGCTGGATCACCTGGAACTGGTGTTTCAGACAGTTGTTAGCTGCATGTGGGTACTGGGAACTGAACCTTGGTCCTCTGCAAGAGCAGTAAGTACTTTTAACCACTGAGCTATCTCTTCAGCCCTGTGATTTTAATTTTTTTTAAGATTGGATTTAAATTAAAAAACAACAACAACAACAAAAACAGCTGGGCGTGGTGGTGCATGCCTGTAGTCCCAGCACTTGGGAGGCAGAGGCAGGCGGATCTCTTTGAGTTCAAGGCCAGCCTGGTCTACATAGTGAGTTCCAGGACAGCTGGGGCTACAGGGAGACCCTGCTTCAAAAAGACAGGAAAAAAAAAACCAACCCCCTCCAAAACAAAACAAAACAAAACAAAACAACAACAACAACAAAAACCAACAACAGCAATCAACTTTGGGGCCAAGCATGGTGGCACATGCCTTTAATCACAGCACTCAGGAGTCAGAGGAAAGAGGAGCTCTGTGAGATGGCTAGCCTGGCCTACACAGTGAGTTCTATCTGGGATAACAGGGAGAGACCCTATCTCAAAAACAAAACAAGCCAGGCGTGGTGACGCACACCTTTAATCCCAGCACTTGGGAGGCAGAGGCAGGCAGATCTCTGGGAATTTGAGGCCAGTCTGGTCTCCATAGTGAATCCAGGCCAGCTGGGGCTACAGGGAGACTCTGTCTCAAAAAGACTAAAAAAACCCCAAACCAAAATAAAAAAAAAAAAAATCAAAATACCACCACCAAAAAACCAACTTTGCAATGTTTACATAGGAGAAAAGGTCCTGCCTGTTGGAAACGATGACCCACTGAGAAAGCACCTGCTTTCTACTGATGGCCTCTGACCCTCCCAGCAGCTTGGGCAGAGTTATGGTTTACTCTCGAGAGGTCGCTGTCCTTTAAGGCAAAACAATATTTGAAAGCTCCCTGCAGGAAAATGACTTCTTTCAAAACACCTTATGGGCCTTAGGCTCACAATGAAACACTGAAGAGCGGACCTTCTGACAGACATCAGCACAGCCACATTAATGGCTGATGTTTAGCATCTTCTGTCTTAGAAACCCAAGGTCATGCAGAAAAAGTGTGGCTGGACAGGATGGTGCATGCCTGTAATCTTACCACTCTGGAGGAATTGGCAAGATTAGGAATTCAAGGTCATTTTGGCTACACAATGAGGTGAAGGCTAGCCTTGGCTACATGAGAACCTGTTGCTAGAACAACAAAACTACTCTGACATTCAGGACCTGTAAAACATGTTTTAAAGCATACTGTAAAAATACAAATAGAGCTGGGGTAGTGATGCACATCTTTAATCCCAGCGCTTGGGAGGCAGAGGCAAGTGGATCTCTATGCAGTCCAGGACAGCTTGGGTTACAAAATTAGACTGTTTCAAAAAAAAGAAAAAAGAAAGAATGGACCCTTACAGCAAATACAGAAACATCAAAAACCTAATCATAAGGCCAAAGAGGATGTTATATATCTCAACAACAAATTTTTCTTTTTGATGGGGGTAAAGTTGAGACAGGGTCTCATACTGTTGCCTAGGCTAGCCTGGAACTCACTAGGTAGCCCAGGCTGGCTTCAAACTCACTATATAGCAAAGGTTGACCTTGAACTCTTGATCTTCCTTGCCTCCATCTGCTAAGCATTCTATCACAAGGATGTGCCAGGGCACCCAACTTCTAACAACAATTAAGAACAGAAATCCAGGCTGGGCATGGTGGTGCAAGCCTTTAATCCAGGTACAGGTATAGGCAGGCAGAGCTCTATGATCCGGTCTCAGAAAGACCAAAACTAAAAACTAAAATAGTTGATATGGCTAAGCACACACTTGTAATTTTTTTTTTTTTTTTGGTCTTTTTGAGACAGGGTCTCCCTGTGCCCCAGCTGTCCTGGAACTCACTATGTAGACCAGGCTGGCCTTGAACTCACAGAGATCCACCTGCCTCCGCCTCCCTGATGCAAGGATTAAAGGCGTGCGCCACCACGCCCTGCTCACACCTACAATCTTGGTGCTGTCAGGGTGGAGACAGGAGGATCACTGGGGCTTACTGGCCATCAGCACTGGTTCAGTGAGAAACCCTATCTCAAAAGAATAAGGCAGACTGCAAGACGGTCCAGCTGTAAGGGCACTTGTTGCCAAGCCTAAGGGCATGAGCTCAATCCCCAGAACCCATATGATAGAAGAAAAGAACCTACTCCTAGAGGTTGTCCTCTGACCTCCACACAAGCACTGTGGCATGAAGGTACCACTTCCCAAACAATAAGTACATGGAATATGTATGTAAGATATAAAAAAGGAGTAAGGCAGGCCAGGTGTGATGGCGCAGGAACTTAATCCTGCAGACAGGCGGATCTCTGTGAGTTCAAGGCCAGCCTGGTCTACAAAGGGAGTTCCAGGTCAGCTGGGACTACAGGAACACCCTGTCTCAAAAAGACCAAAAAAACGGGCAGAGAGCAATAGCGCAGAACATATCTGATGTCCTCCTTTGGTCTCTACACAGGTACATAGGCAAGCACCATGTGCTCTCTCGGGCGGGGCGGGGGGGAGTCCAGAGAATTAGAGACAAGGAAGGAAAGTTTGAAACAGAGTCCATACTATAGGAAGGCAGAAAGGGGGGTTCTACCAGCCAGATCTGGGAACACACAGTACAAAACGGCAACCCACAGGCCCACACTAAAATACACATATGAGGGACTGGCAAGAAGGACCAGTAAGTAATGGCACCTGGTCACACAAGCCTAACAACCTGAATTCAATCCCAAGAATCCATGTGTTCTAGTTTATTTTCTCTTACTGTGATAAACACTATGAACAAGCAACTTGAGGAAGACGGGGTTTGTTTGGCTTATAGGTTATAGTCCATCATCAAAGAAGTCAGGGCAGGAACTCAAAGCAGGATCCTGGAGGCAGGAGCTGAAGCAGAGACCATGGAGGAACACTGTTCACTGGCTTGCTTCCTTTGGCCTGCTCAGCCACTTTTCTACTACAGCCCAGCCCCAGCTGCCTAGGAATGGCATGAATTAACAATCAAGAAAATGCCCACAGATATGGTCACAGCCAATCTGATGGAGGAAATTCCTCAACTGAGGTACCTTCTTCCCAGGTGACTCAAGTTTTGTGAACTTGACAAAACTAACCAAATTAACCAGTACACCATGTACGACTGGAAGGATGCCATAGTTGTTCTCTGACCTGCACATGAGTGCCCTGGCCTCCTGTCTCATACACACAGCATACATACTCACAAAATAATAATAGTTTTTTTTGGTCTTTTTGAGACAGGGTCTCTCTGTAGCCCCAGCTGTCCTGGAACTCGCTATGTAGACCAGGCTGGCCTCCAACTCAAAGAAATCTGCCAGCCTCTGCCTCCTGAGTGCTGGGATTAAAGGTGTGCGCCACCACGCCTGACCAATAATAGAGTTTTTTAAAGATATACATATGAATATAGGACTAGGGAAAGCCTATAGTTTGGTGGTACAACACTTACCTAGTTTGTTTTTTGTCTTTTTGAGACCAGGTCTCCCTATAGCTCCACTTGGCCTGGAACTCACTATGTAGAAGAGGCTGGACTTGAATTCACAGAGATCAACCTGCCTCCCAAGTGCTGGGATTAAAGGTGTGAGCCACTATGCAACACTTACCTAATGTAAGCCTCTAACCTCCCGCCTTGTTACAACAGATCAAAAACTAAGTACAGAAATAATAGACTTAGGAAACCACTGACTGATGCTAAAATCAATGACGCTGATTAAAGGCTGAATCAGTAAGAGAGTATTTCCTTAGTCCTCGAGTCTCCCTACAAACTTATCTAACAAGGGAAAGAGCAACTTCACAGTATAGACAGCTAGCAACAAGCAACCAGAAGAAAGGACCAATACAAACACATCAGCACTGACCTGGGGATACAGAGGAAGGATCTGCACCTTCAGATTCCCAGGGAGAATGCACCAACCAGGTCCAACTCAGAGGAGCACCAGCCAAACCACATCTGAGAGACATTCAAACGGCCTAATTCAAACAAAGATTAGAAATATCCAGGCCAACAGACAGGCAATAAACAAGGCAATGCATGACTCTGGGTTGGATCCTACAAATAGAGAGCAGCAAGAAGGGACAGAACTGGCACCATACGAAGATGGACGATGGATCAAGTATCATTATGGCCTCAATCATGACTTTTCTGATTTAGAAGGCAATACAGTTTTCAGGGAAATGTCCTTATTCTTAGGAAATAAACACCAAGAAAATTTAGCGTTTAAGGGAGAAAGACACACAATGTCTCAATTTTTTCCTTCAGTAAGTTAGGAAATAAATGTACATGCATACATGTGTGTATAAGTACATGTATACAAAATATATAAAGAATGCCAAAAAGATAGCAAAAAAACCCAAATAATTTTCTCATGAGTGTGTATGTAAAAATCTTCAGCAGGAGGCTGACAATATGGCTCAGTCAATAAAAATGCTTGTCACCAAGCCTGATAGTGTGAGTTCAATCCCCAGGACCCACATGGTAGGAGGAGAAAATGGACTCCCACAATTTGTCCTTTGACTTTCACATGCATGCTGTTACACACACATGCCCCCACACACATACAAAAAACCAAAAATATAATAAAAAATTTAAAAAATTTTCAACAGGGGCTGGAGAGATGGCTCAGCGGTTAAGAACACTGACTGTTCTTGCAGAAGACCTGGGTTCGATTCCCAGCACCCACATGGTAGCTAACAACTGTCTGTAACTCCAGTTCCAGGGGATCTGATGGCCTCTTCTGTCCTCCAAGAGCATTGCGACATGGGTGCACTTGCATACATGCAGGCAAGACACTCATACACATAAAAATAATAAAATATTTTAAAAAATAAAAAATCTTCAAAATGATAGCAAACTGAATCCAACAATATGTAAAAATGATGATATACCATGATCAAATGGAATACACCCTGTGAATGCAAGGTTGGCTTAACATTTGAAAACTACTTGTCCTAGTTTGTTCTTCATTGCTGTGACAAAACACTCTGACCACTACTAACTTGGGGAGAAAAGGGTTTATTTATCTTACATCTCCCGGGTCACAGTTTATCAGGGAGCCCAAGGTAGGAACTCAGGGCAGGAACCTGGAGGCAGGAGCTGGA